TGGAAGAGAAACTTCAAGTGTATCTAATAAATACAATTTTACTTAGGCGTCAAGAAACTGACGCAGAAAATTTATCGAGATTGAAACAGCAGCGTCAAAATCGACAACTCAAGAGTCCATTACGTGAAAGATCAGCTTCTCATTGTATCCTCACAGCAATCTCTGAAATCTTTAAAGATCCTACTTCAGATTTTTTAATGAGTAAAAAATGTATTTGTGTTTTTGTGGCAATAAAAACGTAGAGTTTATGGTCCAGGACTTTTTTGCTCTGGTAATAACGTTGTGAGATATGAGAAAACAAATATTTTTTTAATGTAAATTTTTTGGGGGTTTAAAATCTTAACAGATTTAAAAAATAGCCGTTTTCGTGAATTACACGGGAGAAACTGTAAATCAACGTCTTCTTATGGCCACCGATTATTTTATGGCATAAAGAAAGCACGGTACTTTTCAGCATAATTATTTTTTTTAATTTTTACACCTTATTATTTGACTAAATGAACTATATGGATTCCAAAAAAACACGTTTTTAATAAGAAGATTTTTGTTCTGAGATGTATCAGAAATATGTGTAAAATTTCTAACTGAAAATGTTTCACATTACATGTCAACACACTACGGTGTTTTATTTAGTAAATCTCGGGCGAAGCCGAGACGGGGGGCTGCTAGTTTTAGATAAAACAAAATCTTGCTGACGATTTTTTGGCAAAGAAGTAAGGAAAAAAAGTATACGTACCACGGCCAGAAAGTAGAGCTACTATTTACCACACATTGCTGGCCTCACCTTCGGCTCGGCTGATAATATAGCGCAGTCAGTAATAGCCCCACTTTCTGGCCTAGGTACGTAATATACTATTAATTATACTATTCAAAAACTCATTTAATGAAAGGTCATTAAAGATTAGACCACTTTTATTCTATTGCAATTTTTCTGTTATGGTATTTTTAGTAATACCATCGTACTTGGTGCATTTTTTGTTTAAAATTTTTCGAAATATTTTAAAATTC